GTGTGCGTGTGTGTGTGTGTGTGTGTGTGTGTGTGTGTCTTTAAAATTACTGTACTCGCTCATTATGAGTAGACTGACATGGCACATTGCCTTCCATTATCTGGATTACATAAACAGGTCAGCACTCAGATGTGCTGATGCACTCCTGATTAATCCCTTGAGTGTTTTTGTGTGTGTGTGTGTGTGTGTGTGTGTGTGTGTGTGTGTCTTTAAAATTACTGTACTCGCTCATTATGAGTAGACTGACATGGCACATTGCCTTCCATTATCTGGATTACATAAGCAGGTCAGCACTCAGATGTGCTGATGCACTCCTGATTAATCCCTTGAGTGTTTTTGTGTGTGTCCTACAAGACAGCTGCATGGACTTTCCCAAACCACTCCGCCAGATGTGCAATGCCCCATTTCTCCAAACACCCTTCTACTCACGTGTAAAGACACACAGACTTTCTTAATCACTTCCCACGTCTGTTCCCAGAACACCTCAAGCAAAGCTCTGATCACCCTCCTGTCTCTAAAAAGACTCAAAACCCTGCACTCCTAGTAGGATTACTCTTGTCATTAGGGAATATATTCACAACAAAACACACAAATAAACAAACAAATAGTTCAAGTGACAGAATAAATAATAACATATATCATATTAATTATCAGTCAGTTATCAATTATTATGTTCAACAGGACCAAGCTTTTGAAAGTACTCTTTAAGCATTCACATATGCATTTGCTTACCACTCAACAAAAATGGCACATATACTGTGCAGTCAATTACAAAATAATTTTTCTATTAAAGATATAAATTATTTAAAAATATTAAATATATTAACAAATACTACTAGTATTACTACTACTACTACTACTACTAATAATAATAATAATAATAATAATAATATAACACACACATTACATTTTAGATATTTTTTATATAATATGAAAAATATTTACAATTGTAATATAACTTTAGTGTGTGTGAGGAAAATACTCGCATTGAAACAACTGTTTGTATATATGTTGATTTAAGTAATCTCTGAGCATAAGAGATAGAGAAAGAAACCGGAAGAGAGAACAAGGGAGAGAGAGTTCCTGCTTTGGTTGTTTCAATATCCTCAGGCTCACTCTACAGGGAGTGATTTAGCCACATATCTAAAAAAAACCTTCCTCTCGCTCTGTTTCTACATCCTACTCTCTTTTCCCTTCAGTAACTCTGTGTTTTATGTATCCATGTTGTCTTTTGTTGGCTCTCTTGGCTGAGGAAAGAAACTGCAAAAACTTTCAAATATAAATTGAAAAATTGAAGTTTCTTGTCTTTTTGAGTTTGCCTTGGTCAGTCATTCTTGCTGGTTAATCATGAGTTCAAAACTGTTTGAAACATACATTTTGCCACTTAAAAATGACAAACAGAAAATTACAGAATTTGGTTCTGAATGAATAGCTCTCCCAAAAACAGAACCATTATTCACTTTAAACCCATATTTCTTTCTACTGTAGACATCACAATGAGAACTTTTACTGGTATATTTCATGTGATTGCAACTCATTATAACTTAATTTAATTTACTTAAAGTTGGTCTGTTTCTTACACAAAGCTCTCCTTTTGCTTAAGAGAAGATTAGCAGAAAGATTAAAGTACTCTGTATGGATCACTTTTATGGTGCTTTTGTGTCTGTTTCTGAAGCATGAAAGCTTGAAAATCTAATTGCGTGGAAAAGAATAACTACCACAGTTCTCTAAATGGCTACTTTTTTGTTCCACACAAGAAAGTAATATGGGTTTGAAATGACATGAGGGTGAGTAAATGGTGACAGAATTTTCATTTTTGACTGAACTGTTCCTTTTTGGTTGAAAGAGGTTGAAAACTGTATCTTTTAAGTTCAGTCGGGTTCATTTAAAAGCCTTACAAAATAAGTCTGAATCTCTCTAATGCTGTCTTCACTTCTCTCCTTTAGATACTTTTATCCTCAGACGGCACAGAAAAACACAAATTTTCTTCTTCTCAAACCCATTTCTCTTGTTTCATATCATTTCTCATACTTTTCTTCTCTCTTCCCTTTCCACTTAGCAGTATATCACTGTCATTCTCTTTCTTGGTAACTATTTTTGATTCTGTTCATCTCTTGTTCTACCCTTATAAGTTTTGAAATACTCAATATTACAAAAAACAGAAGACAGACCTTGTGTTTGCTCAAAATAGACCCCAACCACACACACACAGTGAAGTAGGGCTTTAATGATGTGTCCGGTTCTATTAGCTGTGCTGCCATCTTACTATTCAATGAGTTCATTATTCACCCTCCTGTGACTCTGGGGCCTCTTATCTCCTTGCATTTCTCTGCATGTCAACCCCTTGCACACCTTCTGACTGACCCCGCAGGGATCTTTAATGGAGATCGCTGCAGCGGAGACTCACGTCTGATCTCTTTCAAATCAGATGAAGTTAAGTTAAACCAACAAAAGAAAACTTGCCTCAAATATAATAACAGTGAGCTCTATCATTTGAACGGTGAAAAGTTTTGATTTAGCTGCGTGTGTGTGAAAGTAATCTTAATCCTCGACCCAGCTTGAAGCATCAGCCTCCTGTCGGGATCGCAGCGGCAAACTCTCGGAGAGTGGTGTAGCGGCATGCTGAGGGACCGATATAAACTCGCACGTGTGTACGTGAACGCCGCTTCCACATCACCCATCTGCTTCTGTAAACAGGAGCCTGCGGTCACGCGTTTGATGAGCTGCTCACTCATCCCGCTTGTGCCGACAGGTAAAACCCAAAACGACCGTGGAACGCGCTCACGGTCTGTCTGGGACCGCGGATCAAAGGGGCCACTAAAAGGGATCCCTGGATCAGAGCAGACATCTGGAGGCCAATAAATGTGGGATTAAGATAAAAATCAGCCTTTCACTGGATTTCATCTCTTTCATTTTCCTCGCATTTATTCCTTGCCCCATCTCTTTTATTCCTCTTTCACGTCTTTTCTATTCCTAAATTAATGCAGTCTCTTTTTTTGTGGTGTTTTTTTTGAAAAGGCAAGTATAGGACTGCAGATTCTCTCAGGCTGATAATGTGCACAGTTAAAGTGGCTCATTAAACCCATTTTTCACACAGAAATCACTGCGTAGCTCCAAGTCTGCAGTCAGCACTTTCCTTCCCCCATCCCTTCGCTGGGTTGTATAAGCGTTTTATAAAAATAGTGCAATTGAATCAAACTGCACATCATTTCATCAAACTGTTTGACTTCTACTGCTTTTGCTGCTTCTTGTTTAATAACGTTATTAAAGAAATACCCCCTGATGTTCCAAATATGTGTGACTTTCTTTTTTGGAACACAGAGAAATTTAGAAATATCTTTTCCATGCAAGTACGGTAGCATTAAAACTTCAAAAACACCATAAAAGTTGTCTGTATGCCTTGTGCACTATATTAAAACTCTTTTAAAACCAGAGAATCAGACTGGAATGTAAGTCATTATTCGCTAAAAATGTTGGCATGTACCCCAGACGAGTGAATAATGACGAGTGATTAATGAATGAATCATTCTTTTAAGTCTGATCTTTTTAATAAATCTAATAATGCAATTCACAAAGCCTGTCTAAATGAATTGGATCCAGTTAGTTCTCTTATTAATGAATATTTCAGGGGCTGATGAAGATTATCAGTGAATAACAACAACAAAATTCTATTTGTTTTTCACATAAAATTATTGTATGACTTCATAAGACTTATTGTGGACGAATCATGTGGACCACTTTATTGATATTTTGTGGAGCTTTTTTGTCAGTTTGGAGCTTGACAGCCCCAGTCCTCTTTTCAGTTTCGTTATATTGAAAATAGTGGCATAGATATTCTTCAGAATCTCTTCTGTTGTCAAATGGGTTGGTAAATGATGGCAACATGTTCAATTTTGGGCGAATTATCTCTTTTATAGACAAACCCAACATCACAGACCTGCTGATTGACTTACAAGTTAGTGATCAATTTTTTCTTTAAATTTAAGTCAGTTACAAAAAAAGTAGGTCTAATTTGAATACGAAAAGAAAGATTGCTAGTCTTAACAAAGTGGCTAGGTTTATGTAACTGGCCAGTGGAGTACAAGCAGTAAATGTGGACACGGCAACAGAGAGATTTCCATATTTCACTTATTATATGGTAGCTCCAAAACAAAGATCGTAGTCAGCAAACACAGATAAGTGTGTGTATTTGTGTGTGAGAGAGAAACTTTCGCTCTCTGACACTGATGTGGTGTGGCACTGAAAGCCTGCAGCAGTTTTCTGGCCAGCGGTTCCATCCTGCAGCTTCACACTGGCTTAGACAAGCAGAACAACGCTAAGAGCTCACACAGACACACACTTGTACACAAATATAGAGGGGGTTAGGCAAAAGAGAGCACTCAAAAAAAGTAACCACATTTAGGGATTAGAGGACGTGGGCAAAACCGCTCCACAGAGAAATTCTGACAAAGCCAAATGGCAAGGAGTAGAAAAAGAAAAACAAAACAGAGAGCTGTTTCCAAAAAAAACCCTGTCAGAAACTCTCAATTAAATCAAGACAGTCTGAGCTCATCACCAAATTAACTCCACTCGACTCAGTTTAAAAGACCCAACTAAGCAAGACTTACAAATTAGAGGCTGTGACGAGGCACATGGTATTACAGAGAAATTTTTTTGGTGATGTGTTTGTTTCTTAAAGGAACAACCTTAGTGTTAAAATAGTGGCATAAAACACCACAAGTACTGAATACAAAGTGCACACCATATTCCATGTACACTACTGTTTAAAAGTTAGGGGTCCGTATGATTTATTATTATTTTTTTCAAGAAATTAATATTATTATTCAGCTAGGATGAAATAAATTGATCAAAAGTGACAGTACAGTGATATTTATCTTGTAACAAAAGATTTCTATTTCAAATAGTTAATAGTAAATTGTTTTTTTGTTTTTTTTGGTGTTTGGCTTAGTGTTATGTTAGAATCATTATTATACTCTTATACCTTTTGTTCTTTAATATTTTGAATTGTTTTTAGCTTTACTTTTTGTTTTTCATTTCAATGTTAAGTTTTGAAATTTTGTTGTATGCATTTGTCCTTTTTATTTAATCTCTTTATTTTTAAAATGTGTATAGGTAGTATTTATAAAGTTTTAGCTTTTAGATTTGGATCTGTTTTTAGTTGTTTTAATA